GTTCTACGTGTTGTAATATGTCCAATGTTAGGTAGTTTGATTTCTTTTCGTTTTTTTTTTGGGGGGGGGGTAGGGTTGCGGCACTGCCTCCCTGACCGCATACATGAGGGCGGTGGCTGTGAGCGGGGAAAGTGAGGCCCCTTTGCGCAGACATGTATGTTACGAATAGTTATTCTTACATTCCTCTCTAACAACAAGGTCGAAAACTTCTTTGGGTCGATTGGGTCTCGCCGGTGGGGAGGCTTGCGACAGTCGCCCCCGGGCTGTGTGCGCCCGAAGGGGACGCTGCTTCCTTCGAAACGACGGCGTAACATATAAATGAAGGCTCTTCCTTTTTTTGCTTTTTTTGTGGTGTTTGAGCTCTCGCGCAGCCTGTCGTGGTCACTTGCTTTTCGCTTCTGTGGCGCTGCACAGCGGGTGCCTCCCTCTCTCTTTCCCTCCCTCTCCGCTAGCGGCTTGGGCGTGCGTGTTTGTGCGTCGATACCGGCCGGCAGGCAGTGGTGGCGTGGGCAGCGCGTCGCCAGCATCCAACAGCAGCGGCGGCGGCGGCTCTGCACCGTCACGGCGGCCGCCGCATCACCCCCGTCGCCTTCACGGAGGAGGCACGATGAATCTCCTTGGAAGCCTCTTCGGCCCCTCGCACGGGGACTGCCTGAGGCGGCTCTTCGACTACCCCGTGTTTATCTGGCAGGTCCCGTGCGGCAGCAGCTCCATCGACAGCAGGGGTGGTCTTGTGCTCAGTAGCAACACCGCAAGGAACATCCGTGCCAACTGCCAGACGTTGGCAACGACCTACGCGAACATGATTTTAAATTTCTCACCTCTGATGATGGACCTTGAGGACAACTGCCCCCACGGCGAGCTGATGGATTTCTCCAAGCAGCCTGTGGAGGACTTTAGGCTTCTGATGGAGCTTTGCATCATAATCAAGAAGTGGACGCAGACCCCCGGCAAGAGTGGCCACGTTGTGGTGCTGGTCTTCCTGGAGGAGAGCTCCCGCATCACATACCCGAGCTACGCCGCCATGATCGCGACGTGCTACCACATATTCGCCGGGTGCCCGTCGGACGGCGGGAGCTATACGCTGGGGTTTGTGGAGGAAATGCTGGGCGTTCGCCGCAGCAGGTACCACGCAGCGTCGCAGGAAATTTACGTGAACTATTTTCAGCTTCTGCTTGACGTTCCCATCTTGCCGAGCGCCCATCTGCGCCGAACGTGGCTGGCGGCTGTGTCGCTGCACGAGATGGACTCCTTCAAGGACATGCAGCTCGGCCTGCGCATCGAGAATGAGGGCAATACGTTTGTCTTCAGCGACCCCACCGCGTGGAAGGCGAACGGGGACGATGGCGCCTTGCAGCTTTCCCTCCACCCGAAGCAGTGCCTGTTTGGGGACTTCTCCATCTCGCTGCTGCGCTACGAGCTGTCGTCGCCCGTACTTCTGGGGCAGCCGGAGCCGCCGCCGAAGCCCCGCGTGCTTGCCCGGTGGGCGTTCAGTACAATATTCGTGTCTCGGGACACCCACCACGTTCGCGCGCGGGACATGGACTACGCTGCGCAGAGCCACCTGCCAAGCGACGCCTACATGCAGCTGCACTTTGTTGGGGGAGAGGCGGAGGCGGAGGACACCGCGTACGCTGAGCAGCTGACACGGCGCATCGACCAGTCTCCCAGGCGGCAGATGGCGCTGCTGCGGCCCGGGCCCTTGTCGCCGCCGGACCGCCGCCGCGACGTCTCCAGCTGCCGCGGGGACGACGACATCGTGGGCGGCGTCTACTACCGCGCCGACGGGACGAGCCTGCACGGCTCCCACGGCCGTGGCGGCGGCGCCGAGCGCCCCTTCCTGCACGGGGTGTTGCCTCTCCGTCCCATGGAGGAGGAGGAGCGCCGCTACAGGGACGACGACGAGCTGGCGCTCTCCCTCGACCAGCCGCCGCCGGCGCGCCACCGCGACCCCTCGCAACCTCCCACAAACCACCAAAACAGGGCATCAACCTTTTCTTCTTTGACACCTGCAAAACCGAGCAGCTCCTGGCGGCGAAAGGAAAGAAGAAAACGGCGTAGGTTTTATCTGAGTAATAAGATGGGTAATGAAAATGGTGAAACTTAAGCCGCTCTTTTTTCGTCTTGGAAATGACTTCCCGCCGACGACGCCCCTGACGACGCCTGACGAGGGCGACGAGCCAGCGGCGGCGGACGGCGTCCTGAGCGCCCTCTCCGCGCAGGGAGCAAGCCAGAGATCATCCTGCCCGTCGTCAGTCCCGCCTGTCGGCTGGCGCAGAGTGCCACGAAGGGCAGCGCGGCGCTGGCAGGCCTGCGGCGGCGGCAGGGAGGTGGAGCGCGCCGCGCGGGAGGCGACGG